GTGCAGACGTTATGCAACGGACCAACGTTTAGTTACTGCTTCATCAACTCAGGGCGTCATGTCATCTGCCACTGCAATGCATATCGCGGTGGGAATTAAACTGAAATATCGTTGGTCGTATTCAGCTTTTATGACAAATGATAAAATAAAACTGAAATCGTCTCATAAACATGGAATGTTGAAACAATTGCTCTTTAATGGGCATAATCTTTTACTACCTGGCGTCAAGATAAGTGGCGTGAGCACTAGTCAAATTGAGGGGTGCGTGGGAGAGCCATGATTAGAGAGAGAGATAGAGAGATAGAGAGAGAGAGAGGGAGAGAGAGAGGGGGAGAGAGATAGAGAGAGAAAGAGATAGAGAGAGAGAGAGGGGGGGGGGAGATAGAGAGAGTGAGAGACATGATTCATGTATGGGAGAGCCATGCATCGGCTCAACCGGTGTAAAACTACGGCTCACGGCAAACAGGCGTGAAACCACCACAACAGCGTTGTGTTTCGCCATGTAAGTGAGATTACCGGAGGCCCAATCCTTCTTCTCCCCCCCACCTCTATCCGACAAAATTATTTGGATTGCTACGTTTACCTATTTCATTTATTAACTTTTGTTTAGGTACCAACAAAAAGTCGTTTATTATGCAGGAGAGTGCAATTGAAAATGGGCCAAAGTGAGCAATTGGAAGTAGGTGTCGTGTGAGTTGCCAAAACTATGATATACTAAGCTAATATAAGGAGTAAGTTTCATATTAGGTACAGTAAAACCTATTTTGATAACAATGCCTTTGATGACAATATACATTAAACTATTGAGAACTATCAAAAAAATTATGAGATTAGCTTAATTTTTACGAATAAAGCCCACTCGTTGTAGCATGATATTCAATAAATACTCGTGTATCATTTTCGTACTCGTTGCAGGCTTGAATGTTATTTTATTTTGATATTTTTTTTTATAACAATGTAATTTATATTTTAATAACCATCATTTTTTTATAAACAGTATTTTAATTACCTATTGATAGAAGGAAAATGTTATCATTTAGAAATGTAACCTTCCAAAATTAAATATTGAAAAACTATAGAAACCAGTACCTATATCTATTTTTTTACATGTAATTTGACGTGTAAGTGCATTTTTCTGGCCTATTTGCAAAAATAAATTCATTCTTTCACAGATGTAGGTATGTTTTTTAGTTTTATCATTCAGCACATATTTTACCAATTTGGAAGTGTCTCTTGCGCAAACCATTCAGTGACTGACACGCGGATGAACGAACAGATAGAGAAACAGACAGACAGACTGACAGGCAGACATGATGAATCCTTAAGTCAGAAACCAAAAATTACGTCTTATCATTTTGAAATAAAATAACTTTGTTTCAAACTTTACTAATATTAAGTTTCTAACTTGACGTTATTTCACGGGCATCGTTTATTAATTTTCATTTCGTAAAAGAGAATTTCGAGTTGGTTTTAGTTTTTACATTTCACTTATACCTAGTTGCCTTGCGGCTATGAAATACCAGAGAGCATTGTACTGGTAACAATAAAATCCAACATTTTCCTAATTAGCTCGCTACTAGAATACGGCTGGAATATTTTTTTTCTGAATAAAGTGGTGTGTAGCGGAAAATGTTGTATCGAATGCATTTAAAAAGTATGTTTCATTCGTTATTTTTGGTTCAATTAAAATAAATTGAATATGATTTTAATTAAATAATATACACGATCGACATTTCAACCACTAGGTAGAAAGATACACAAAAGCCGTAAGCTGTAATAACACGCATCTAATTTCAGAAACGTGCCTTAGGTATGTACCAAAAGTAAGAGTTAATTAGCTTCCTTGCGAGATAATGCTGTGTTCATCACGGTATACATTACTAATGCGGCCAGAAATAGCTAAATAGCTAAATTAGTTAATTAATCATTTCATTTTAGGGACTTTGTTACAGAACCATTGTAATCTTACAATAAAAGTAACATATTTAGTATCATTGCTATTATAGTGCTTATTTGCAAACCCTGTATTTTTTATTGAAAATAACCACTTATTTACGTGAAAAGCCCCATTAGTTTAAAGTCACAACGGGACTCTTATTCATTAGTAACGTGCGCGTCTCGGCTACATCACGCAGCTGTCTTTGTTAATTCACGTGATTAAGTTGTTACTTTCAATAAAATCTGAATGACAATTGTTACTAACGCTGTATATCAGTGGTAAAATCCCTCTTTGAGGAGTGGTTTGGGAGACGTTACGGCGTCTTTACCTTCCGCCTGACGCAGGTGCTTAGGTACTGGGCACGGCAGCTTCGGTGTAGGTTGCTGTTGCGGATCCGGCGGGAGGAACCGCCGGAGTGTCGTCATTTTGGAAACCATCCTTTTTTTTACTTCTCCCACCCGCCCAGGGTAAGGCGAGAGAAAGTGTCAGACTCTTACTGACTAAAACCCCGTTCGTTCTCCTGCTCTGGGCCGAGGCCGCGGGAATTCATTGCGCTTTAACCCACAACCCCGGCTGAACATCAGCCCTATAAGGCCCCGTCTGTGGTGGTCTATTGGCTCTTTGAGGCGCTTGCGGAACGCTACGCGCAGTACGTTCGGGTCTGGTTCTGGTCGGGCGGCGAGCTACCTTTACTCGCTGTCCGCAGACCCGCGTTTACGGTTTCCGGAGAACATCTCTCGATCCCCGACGTTGAGGACCACCCTGAGGATACGGTGGCAGTTTGCCCTGCTTGGGCTGAGCACCGCCGTGTTTTCAAGGAAGTGCCCTCGTGAAAGACGTTGCTTTTATTCCGCCCCGCCATGAGATCGCGCCGGATTAGTAAGTGTATAATGTGCATCGCTGCCAAGCTTCTTGAAAATCAGAATGCGACAAGTACTTTGATGCAGTCTTACTAAACTTATTTTTTCACACAGGTTTACAAATCAAACAGAATCTTTTTGTTTAAAGTAAGGCCAGTACTTACATACAATATTTGAAAACGCAAAAAAACTTATAGAATAGATAGACTAGAAGGAATAGAGAGACTCACTGGAAAAGGAAGCAAGTGTATAACTAGCGAAAAATGTAAAAAAAATGACGGTGTGCGTTTTAAGAGTACAAAAGGTTTATCGGAATTTTCTTCAAAGAATGATGAATGAAAATTTTTGTATTGTCCACCTTTTTCAAATAACCTTAAAAATGTATGCAAAAATTTACATTTACTGATTTTTTGTTTTTAATTTTTATCATCTGTAATGTGTAACGGCATTGGATAAAGAACATATATTTATTTACGTGGGTATTAAAGCGGAAAAATATTATTTGTATACCTTGGTAGGCTTGACGTTTCAAATAATAATTTTCCGCGTTAGTATCCGCTTAAATAAATATATGTTGTTAATTGGATAAAGAAGTTTCGGAGGCGAAAATTATTCTCCCTTGTAATGACGTTATTTTTTAAAATCCCCTCATTTTCAGGGGCAATTCTTACGTTGAAATAACAGAATTTTTAAAAGTAGGTAGGTATGCTTCATCTTGTTCACGCAAAATCTTTTCTGGTAGAAAATGTATAATGAAGTCATTTAGATTTAAGAAAGAAACTAACTACCTTTTAAACTCATATTTTCTTATATTGCGGTATAGGTTTACTGCTTTGTTCCTATTTTAGAACCTCGGGACTGTTATAGATTTTAAGAATTAATAGTAACCAATACAGTTAGTTTTTGTTAAGTAAAAATATTTTCATACCATGTGATTTGTATACAAATTACCAATTCACTTAAATGTTAGGATACCTATAGTATAAATGGCACATAAACAAGACGGCTTTCAAAGGGCCGAGGTGACCGGAAGTTGACGGCCACGCCACCGGACATCGCGCCCAATGGTCGGAAGCTTATTTTGTACTTAAGCCCTCATTACTGACTTTATGACAGTTTACGACTTAGATGTACTCAACTTGTCCGAGTTGTCTGCTAAGAAATTATGAGAGTTGTAAGTTGGGTCACAAGTTCTGCTGATGAAGAAAAATTTTTGGGCGATTTCCTCGCCCAAAATATTCCTTATAAACAAGATTTTCTACGACTCTGTCGTTATATATATAATACGGATACGAATATCTATATAAAAGAGGTATTTGTAAGTTTGTATGTACTTCATGCCTTTGAAACCGCTGGTCGGATTGTCAAAATTCTTTCACTGATAGATAGTTACAACATTCCTGAGTGCTATAGGCTATAAAACATTATGCTACAATCAAATGGAGCCGAGCAGCGGGTGAAACCGCGCGAGAGTAGCTAGTTATGTACTATATAATCATGCCTTGAGTATTCATTCATTCTGATTTTAAGGTCGTATTTGTTATTTAACAAGACTGATAGATGAGTTGAGATATTCTCTCATCCACAAAATTATTCTATGAAGAAATAACGTTTGCTTAACATCTTTCAAATGTGAAATGACTTTGGCAAATGCTCGTAAATAATTGAAAAATTGAATGAAGTAGTGTCCATGAAAAATGTATGTCGCGGTTCACGATCGAAGCTCGAGTCGACGGTCCCATAAATTGGACCGCGCCCAGGTGTTACGCGTACTACTTCCTTCGCTAAATTGCCCAGTACGAAGGCACCGCGCCGCGAACTGCGAGTTATGTCCCCCATCTCAAACTTTTTTACACGTGACGAGAAACTCGACCCAATTCTGCGAACTCTTTTAATAACAAATTTTACTGGATCCTGTCCCCGGAGTGAGGACTAATATTTTATAACGCAACACTAAGACTACAAGATTCATCGTCCCGAATATTTCTTTATGACCCACCTAGCTGGATTCTTTTAGAAGTTCTCTAAACATTATGTACCTAACCTAAATATGAAAAATTGATATGCTTTCTGAAATTCAGCACAAAATGTAAGCTGAAGGTAAAACTAAACGTTATAACATCTTCAAGTAAAAGCTCTCATCTATCATTTAAGTTTCATTACAAATTACTTTGTGGTTATTTACTTACCTGTAAAAAAAGACGAAAATCTTCACGTTGTGTTTATTGATGTGAACATTGTATTTGAGTAGCATATGTATTTTTGTTTTTTGTTGTTGTAGAAAGCATCGTGACCCCCGGCATGAGGTCGGGGGAGGCGGGCGAGGGTTCGGAGCTGGCCGAGTTCGGCGCGCGCTGGCCCCCGCCCTACAACCAGGGCTACGGGTGGACGCGCTCCGCCACACCGCAGCACCCGCCGGCACATCACCTAGCCAGGCATTCCAGGAGCCACCAGGTACAGCTAATCTTGACAACTAGTCAATGCCTACTGCCTGTTAGATAACCAAATTCTAACAGAACTTGAAATTCACTAATTTATGTCAGCCTTATATCACAGACAAAACGAGAACGAAAAACCATGTTCAAAACAAAGATATCTTTTTGTTATCTCACGCGAGAGGTTGTAAATTCAGTTACATTATTAGCACGTGTACATAAATAGCATTTATCTGGTGGTACTTCTACAATTTGCATAGTGAGGAAACTGGTGCTCATTTCCAATTTTCTGCGGCAACGTATTTTTTCCGTTTCCATGTAATTGGTTCAATTTATGTAATTTTGCCGTATCATGTGTGAGTTACTGCTATTGAACGTGACTTGGGAAAAAGAACTTAAAGGGTATGTTGTTGTATATGGGTCGTGTGTTATTCGTTATTTTCATTCTATTTTGTTAACTTTTTGATTTTAGCAAACCCCGTACTTAATATGATTGGCAGCGTGATTCTGAGTTCTTTACTTCGAAAGATTAGTCGTCCCTCGTATTCATTGGCTCTTCGCAACTCTAACGATGTTGTTGGTCTATCTGGCAGGATGTCTGCCCACGCTTCATTTTCCAGCCCGTAGTCATCACTCAATCTGTAACACATTTCTGATCCCTCACCCGTCTGTCCTCTGAGAGATGCAGCCTGCTTATTGCCACTTCAGCAACAGAATTTTAAGATGTCGGTAACTCTGGTTCTTTGGCACATTTCCACACTGTAAGCATAGCACTTTCCATCGCTCGCCGGGAGAGTAAAAACAAATTTCAAGGCCACATGGAAAATTTCAAATGTGCAAGTCGCTGTTGATTTCTGAACCGAAAGCTCTATTATATTGCATAGGGTTACACACTGAAGTCTTTTGGTGAAGTATTTGCGATCAACGATGCAGTTGAGTGCTAACACCAGTGCGGTGTCACAGGGTTATGTTGTATGAAACTAGTGGTTACAGGATAACCGGCATACGAGCTATGAGGCAGAAGATGCAAGAGGCCGGGCGCGGGGCGGGGTTTATTACTCGCCGCCAGGCACATCGTACACCATCGTGGAAAGACCAGCTTCGTCACACGGTCACCACAGCTCGTACTCACATCACTACGCGGGGAAGCTGTCCCGGGCACCCTACCTCGGCTCCACTACAATTGCGAACAGTGCAGGTGCTTATTAAATAAATAGTATAAATATGGTAACCATTTTTATGAAGCAAGGTGAGTTTTTTGCATTGAGCAGTAAGTACGCAACTGGTCTAACATGTTTTATTTCTATATAGCTGGAGCAACAAGTTTAAGAAACAGTACAAATCACCTGAGCGCAGCGAACGGGAAGAAGCGACCGATATCGCCCGAGCAGGTGCTTCGGTTGTTCGGGCAGGGCGGCGCTGCGGCACTAGGAAAAGCACTGCCACCGTCGCATCCTCCAGCGCCTCTACCTGCACCCCTACCCGCTCGCAGGCACTCCCCCGCCAGCAGCCCCAGCAGCACTACGCATCATGTAAGCGCTCTTAATACAAATAATTGCATTATTTAGATGTTGCCACGGACTAACTGGAGCACTACTGAATTAGCTTCCTACAGCGCTCGCCAGAAATTGGGGTTAATTCCGAGAACGTTCCGTGATTAATTAGAGTGTCAATTGTTTTATAACTTTCTATTCAGCTATTCATGGCTAAACTTGATTTTTTATTGTAACTAATATCATAGCACAGTTTAGGTACCTGAACTAAATCACAAGTTATTGGTAGGTTCAAAATCCAAATTAATTCGATTTTTTTTCTTAGTAACGGAACCTTGAATTTGCCCAGCTGTTGAAATTGCGGCGATGCAGCAATTATTGAATCAATACTAGTATCGTCAAGGATGTCAGTGGGTGAATTAAAGTTCCAAAAATAGCTGAGTATGAGGCAGGGAGGGGGCAGGGGTGTCATGTGTGTAAATTATTCCAGGGTGAGGCCGAGCTCGCCAGTCGATACCACTACTTTATTCATGACCACAGCGGCGACCGTTTAGGTGCCGACAATGTGGACATGGCCGCACAGAAATGAATGGGTTTTGCTTTATCCGCATATGTACTTAGGTTACTTGTCTAACAAATCACTGGATCAGGTGCCATGTTTGATATTTTGGAGAGGCTGGCCCCATAGGGCTGTTAGTTAGGCATTTCGACATAACCAACGTTTACAATGAAAAATGTTGTTATTGCTAGGTACCGGCACGTGTGGGAATGTCCATATAAAACTTATGGTGTCATGGTCACCATCGGTGCGACTGTCATCGCTACGTTCAGTCGCTTTCAGGAGACAGTCAGGTTTACACTGTATTTAACCGTTATTTATTGTGAAAGTTAAACAACAAATTGTGATTTACCGCAATCTTCCCCTTACTTTATCGTAAAATCGTTAGGGCGGTGTCGTGCCATTTGACCCAATTACGCTGCTTTTTTTTCAATGTTGGAACGATAAATATTTCAATTTGTGAACGCTGGACTCGTTGACGAAGGCAACGACGCTCTCATTTCCTCGAAGCTGATGTGGTTAGTTGCGAGACTTGAAGTGTAATGACTAAGCGTAACTACATAAAACCTTAAATAGTTGTGGTGAAAATTAAACGGTGTTGTTTCAACGAGTTTTGAATTTTAAAAGAATTATTAAGGGAACCTTATTGGTGCTGTAAGTCCCCGAACAGAAACTAGCTAGAAAAATGAATGCTTAAAAGGCCTTGAAACAGTGCGTGATGTTTCTCAGTGTCAGCTGGTGTAGTGACGACGCATACCTAAGTGACATTCCAAATTGGATTCCACCCAGAACAATGAGGTAATTAATTGAATTCTTAATCAATATAAGTACAAAAATCGATTCTATAGACATGATGAATCACTTTGTTCGAACGTATAAATTGAACCTGAAAACTTGGTTGCAATAATAGCTGTTTTTGAACTTTTGGTTCTAATCAATTAAAGTGTACTTAGGGGCTATTAACATCGCAAACTGAAAGCGAGCAGTTAATCACTGTTGGAAAGTGTAAGATATCTTTAGTAAAGTTGTATGAGCCGTCGGTATTCCCTGTGGGTGGTTCGTGAGCGATTACAGCTGGGATACTTGTTGAAGAGAATCTGCATATACCAAGCGATATTACGAAAATATTAGGGATTAAACTGTTCGAGGTTTAAAATGCTGGAAGAGAAAATGCTATTGTTTAAAATTTTACATAAACGTACCTAAATAATCCTAAGAATTTAACGCGTTACTTAGAACGCTGACTCTTTCATTTTCCGTACTAGGTAAAACATTTAAGAATTCAGTCTTAGCCATAGTCTGTTTAATGTCTAGTTTTATTAGGAGGCACTTGAAATGATTGCTTCTGCTCCTCTATAATCCACAACGCGTAATACCATGTTCTTAGATGGACCCGCCGTAAGATATAGGAATTAGAACTACACGCTACATGTTATATCTGAGATCGATAGCTTAACGTGCTCTGCTCTTCGAGGTTTGTACGAATGCCCGGATTTTAAATTGCTATCTCATCTACAAATTATAGTATACAACTTTCCTTTATAATTATAACAGTAATCAGTAACAGTAATCAGTCAAAGTTTCATAATATCAATAAAATTATCACAACAGAATTGAAACGAGAATAAGCCTACATGAATGAATGGTCGTTTCAATGGCAATGAAGCCTTTAAAAATGTATGCTGTACACTTAAAAAGACGTGGAATAAAATATGCATAAATATTGTACAATGCAAGCGAAAGCATAGTTTTGAAATAAACCTCGGGCGAGATCTGATGAAAATATTCGTGGCGGAACGCGAGCTGTGATCTCGGGGCGGGAGAGCGTGCGGTAGAGGCCGCGGCGCGGGGCGGCGGGCGGCGCGCTATCCGAGGGCGGCCGGTTACTACAACTTCTTTGAGATGTTAAACGCTCGCCTCGAGAAACACTGTTTACGCAAAAAAGGGGAGCACGTTTTATTGCTTATGAACGCCCCGTCGAGTACAATATTGAGGGAAACAATTCTTTGAGCAGTCATTCGCGTTGCTAGAAATCATTTCCTGTCTCTATTTTTGGATCAAAATACCCTTTCGTATTGCACCTTATTGAAGTATAAAGGATTGAATTTTATTACTGGCAAGCACGCAGAGAACTGGTACTAGTTCCTGTGTTTTGTCCTTGTGTTATTATTTTGGAAAATACCGGCAAACATGCCAGGTCACGTCATAATGTAAAGGAAACACGTCAGTTAATGAAAAATTTATAAATGCGGAAGGCGACCGCGACGGTAACCTACTATAGTTTGCTACCTACATATTATAGGCAGGGACATGTGTTTTTAATTTAGAAGTACATTCAAGCATGTAGCGAAAATAATGTTAAAACTTGTTTGAGTTAATTCAGGGTTTGTCTTATTAAAATAATAATATTTATTACTAATTTGTGTGTCCGTTTCCTTTCACGGGATTACAAGATCCCGGACCTTTGGAAGGCATACGAGGGGCCGAAGCCAACTCGCAGAGCCCTGTTGAACAACTTTAATATAAGTGAAATGGGACATAATTATTACTAATATTATTACGGTTAATTTATTTAATATTAATTAAACACTAATAATATACTTGTACTCTCCGCAATTATTGCGTCTATTGAGCATAGGGGAACAATTTTCGATTTTAGCTACACTAAGGCAATAGCTCCATATCTCACATAATTTAGTCTTAACGAAGCTCAAAATGTAAGGAAAACTTGCTAAAACCTTGGAATAACGAATATTTATGAGTTGTTTTATTTTTGTAGTATAGCGATGCGGTAGTAATATTTTAATTGCAAGTAGAAACAATGCAATAAATTGTTGTTAACGGACTCGAGTCCACTGAGATCACATATAAAAACTGTTAAAATAAAATGTTGTAAAAATAGCTTTATATCTTTTCTCTTATTACCTAAATTATGGTTCATAGTAAATTCTGACCAAATTCTGGTGGACACTGTTTTTCGTAGCGGCAATCGTGGAGGTTATTTGCCATCTGGGATCTCTTCAAAGAATGTAGTTGCGTGGGTGGACTTATTATATACAAACTGACATCGGCAAGCACAAGCTCTAAGTTAGATCAGAGAGAGTCAGATATCTATGTATGTACCTACACAGACTTATACGTTATTTGTTTGCTGCTAGTAATTATTGTTGCTAATATATGATGTTTGTCGACAGGCAATATATCGAGGGGGTGAACGTGAGCGGCCGTACTCGTCGGGCGGGGCGCCGCCGCCGCCGGCGGAACCCGCCACGCGAACCGTCACCATGAGCCGAGACCCTGCCGACTCGCATGGCTTTGGCATCTGTGTCAAAGGCGGGAAGGAGGCAGGTGGGAACCCTTCCTTGGATAAAATGTTCTTAGTGTAATACCCTTGTCAGACAGACAGCGAACACGTGATCAACCGTTTATTTGCAATGAGTACTGATACGTGAAACAGAAAGCCTTTTGTAGAATGTTTTCTGTAAAACAACACAATAATTTCTTAAATTGTGATACAATTTATCTGCATTTTATTGTATTCTGAGCATTTTACATAGACTGCCAAAATTGAGGCTTTGAGGCAAAAAGTAAACGAAATCAAAAATGTTAATAAATCGAAAGGTAAAAATATCGAAAATCTTTCACATAACTTTGTTAACATTCGTATGAATGGATAAATAACCTAGGTATCGATTTCTTTTCATTCAATGAATGCCATTGTTTTCTCTGTAGCTAAAATCGTGAGTTTGTTTTATAACGAAAGGCTAGGGACGAGCGATTATCGATTATTACCAAGCGTGGGAGGTACGCAAATAGCTCTGAGAGCGATCAGTACCTAAACAATGACCCCATGCTATTTGCGAAACACGATTTACGTGTATACATGTACAGGTGTAACAATTTTCTTTATTGTCGATGGCAATCCCATGTGTATATTGAATCGAATAAAAGGCGTTTGTCTATGCTAATTAATTTGAAATCTTGCTTTGATTAGCGATTTGTCAGATTGAGCGAAGTATATAGTGCTTTTTCCTGTTTGTTTTATTTTTATTGTTTTAAGTGTCTTTTTATTACTTATGTACTAATTTGAAGCTTATTTCAGTTCTAATTTCTTCAATATTTTTTCTATTTGTAAACATACTTAAACAAAATAAATGACAAAACTATTTTCCAGTTAATAAGTGCATATACCTAAGTATATCTACATAGGAAATAAAATTTCTAAGACAAAATTGTAGTACTTACGAGTATACTTAAGCTCGAGTTTAGTAGCGTTCTTAAGACAACGTTTTAAAATAATATAAAATATTAATTATATAAAATAATAATATTCTGTCTTGTTTAGTCGGACTGGGTCGCTTGTGGAAACTTCAAACGATAATCCCGCTCCACTGGCGACGAGACGAGACAGTAGGGCGGCGCGCTTCGGGTTATTTAAATTGCATAAAACCTCTTACGAGAAAATGCGCGTCGGCTATTATCCGGGAATCGCACTCATAAACAATTGTACGTCAAATAATACGTACATAAATAACAACGCTACTTTTCCTTTCTATTGTTGAACATATTAATTTCAAACACTATTTATTTTAGTAAAATGTTACCCCGCTGTAGGATTTTCTCCTGTATCGAGAGTTCGTTTACAAACATACCCATTACCTTTGACCTAGAACAACAATTTTTGGATCACACTAAGAGTTGTCCCTAGTGGGAATCAAAACCGCGACACGTTGCCCAGCCTCTGCACCTACCGCGCAGTCTGTACAATAAGTACACGTCGAAGACAGAATATTGTTAAGATCTTGAAACTAGCTGCTACTGAAAACAAAATGTTTCTAGAATGTCTCTAGAGACATTCTAGAAACACACACACATTACACTTTTGAGTCGCCGCAGAACATTTTTCCATCATATTTTTGCATGTAAAAATAAATGTGGAATGTTACTTTGGACCAACGTACAAAATTTCTTAAAAGTTTGTCTCTGTGGTCGGATATTAAACACAGACTTTTAATACCACCACAAGACAAGATAAGATCCTCCTCAGTTTGTATTGCATGAAGCCCCATTGTGGAGGTTACATTGTAGGTTTTCAAATTATACGAGTTTCATATCTGGATTTGTTCAGCCTGAATATGCTGTAAAACTTGAGCAAGAAGCTTTCGCATTGTATTTTTAAAAGAAGTAGGTGAAAACAAGATATTAATAAGGTTTAAAATTGTCTATGGATTATTTTTAATTTTGGCGCCATTTTGGAACAATTTGGAATGTCTGTTTTTTTTTTGTTACTTTATATTTTGCTTCATTGGCTAGTTGTAATGTAGTTGTATAAATTTTAGTTAATGTAATAATATTTAGGCGTAGGTGTGTACATATCGAGAGTGGAAGAAGGTTCGGTGGCGGAGCGTGCGGGGCTGCGCCCTGGGGACTCCATTTTGCAAGTCAATGGCACTCCGTTTTCCGGAATTTCACATGAAGATGCTCTTAAGGTAAGATATTCTGCGTAAGAAGTCCTGATACTTACGTCTGCAGAAATGTAATATACTTACCTAACATAATATACAGATCAGTATAATGTGTAAATTATGTTATATTAAAACTTTCACCACGGCCTCTGGCATAGTCGTGAATTTTGTAATTTTGTGATTTAACTAGGTATTTACGAATACTAGGTATAATGACCAAGTTATTAACTAAACTAGATAATAATTGATCAAGGAAGGACTATTAATTGTTATTGTTTGTAAACGTTACAAACACGTTTGTTAGTAATAATGTAGTTAGTCTATTCATCCACTTAGTTTAGTCAAACACCTCGTTAACTTGGATTCTAAATTAGCATATTGTTAGGCGGTTGATATCTGTGAATTACACGGTGATTACTACATATATATGAGGAGGCTCAAATAAGACCTGTTGCTGTTGGCACTCAGTCCTGACGGTAAGCCAAATGACCGTAAGTGACGCGCGCCAAATGTCTGCACTACCAAACAGCTCGTGTGTTAAGAATGTTTTAAACAGTTAACTCCAACGTACCTGCCAAAACAAAAGGCCCTCGGTTTTCCTGAATAGACCATTTCTTTTTTGGGATCTCGGTCAATTTACACAAAGATAATAATCCAGGTTTACGCCGCAGCTTGGTTTGTTGTGGGCTGCGGCTGTTTTCTTTTCTCTTTTTTTGTACGGATTTTATGAGATAAATTTTAATTACGGATGGTTTCGAAGGCCTAAACATACAAACATGGAGGATTGTTGTAAAGAACCTTATGGATAAATAGGACATGTCATAATTTGTTGTTATTAAATTAGTAACATTAGATGTCAAATTAAACCTGACTGCAAATTGTGTATTTAGCACAGATACCTACAAAATTTTAATGAGGAAAAAATAATTGCTATACAAATGTCTAGAACACTTGAGTGACGTTATTATACGGAGTGTTAGCAAGCGCAGACGGGCTCATCCTCTCGTACGCCGCGGAAAACACTTACCGGATGATAATTATGTGATTTATATTGCAGCCTGCTCTACGGAGTTAACGCTATGCATATTACATGTAGTGTTGAACGCTAAAAGCTTTTTAAATTTTAATTTTTCTAAGCTGAAGCGTTTTCCCATTATTCCGATATTTTTGTGATGTGCCTATAAACTATTTAAAAAAAAATAAAAAAATATATTGATACCTTTTTTTTTTACAAAAAAAAAGACTGTTTACAATAAATTGTAAGTAATTTCGTAAATTTTTAAATATTTATATAATGCAAGGTAATTACAACTGATTATATATATTTTCACAATTATGAAATACTTGTTATTAACAAGGACTTACGATATTAAAGCGACCAATGTATCAGGGTAGGTACATTCTTAAAAAGATTTATTATGTTTCGGATCCTTTTCTTACGATTTAAATATGTGACTAGTCTAGACTATAAGAAAAACATTTCCCTTGAACATAACATACTAGGCAATATATCTCTAACTGTCACAGAAAACTCGAAGTAAACGTGTTTAATACCTACTAGAAGGGCGCGACATCGGGAAATGGAAAAACGTATTTTATATAAATGTAATGAAAAGTATAACAAGATAGGTATTAAAATCGTTTTTTCTTTGCAAAAAACCGTAAGTAAGTAGTAGCTTGTCGTCCAGTACTAAATATGGGATCCCTTTCTACTAACGGTGCCAAATCTAATACAAAATGGAGTGAAATGTTGCAAAATATATATTTTATTTACCAATACTTTCATTTGGCCAACATTTGGTTTGTCTGTAAAACCGCTGGTTATTAAATTGGGAGTTATGTACACAAACAATTTTTTTTTAAATATCTGCGTTGGTATCGTGTAAAAGAAGAAATTAATTAAGGAGAAATGATTAGATGTAAATTACGAAAACTTTACAATGTTGGCAATTTAATTAAACTGGTAAACTTTATGTAGGCATTTAAAGGATCAAGACGATAGGTTTATAAAAAAAGTTTTTGTTTAAAAAAACATATTTAGTATTTCTGAAGTACTTTGGTACCTACGAGTACGGTATATTTACATTTTACTGCAGCCGGAATATAATCGACATGCAAACGACATTGCTGTTGGTTTAAAAATGACAGCTGGACACGTCAGAGGGACGTTTTCTATTTCCTTGTTAAAGTCGACTGCAGTGGCACACCTAGGCAGCAATTTGATATTTTATCAAAATAATTACGTCGTAATTTTTTTACAGATGTACATATACAAAAATATTCGTATCTGTTCGGTGACTTTTGAAATAAATCTTTTCAATTAGAAAGGGAATTATACAAAATTTATAAAAAAAAATTGCGTTAAAGTAACAAAAAAACCCTTATTATTTAGATGCTCATTTTAATATAAGTAGGTAATATATAGGAATTTTGGTAAAAATATAAATATGCATCCTACAAAAGTCCTTCGAATGGTTTCCAACTTTGATTCTAATTATTCTATACAGAAGTTTGTTTAGGTAACCAATTATAGTATTATTAGTAGTTATTGACTTTTTCAAATAAAGTTAACTAAGTCATATACATTTATAAGAGAAGTCAGGTGAAACTTCCGGATATACGTATAGCTTTTATTTTCTTTTCTTTTCGGAAAAGTTTATCACTTCATACGAAGGAACAGTTGAGTGCTGTACCTACTTGGAATGATATTGGCAATGGCTGTTATATTTTGTCAGTTGTTCCCAAGTTATAATGGCCTTCATTTAGTAAGTGCGCTTCTTATGTAGTTATTGTTAATGTTTATGAGTGTTTGTGCAGAGGTCTTGTTGGATAATTAGGTACGCTTCTTTATTAAATATTTTGCAAGTGACTAAACTGTGCCAACATTTTGTTTTCTTTAAAGCATTTCAAAATATTTCGGATTTACTTTACATACTGGATAAGTAGTTGGTTTAGCGGGTGTCGGTCGGTCAGGTAAGCGGTACTATTTTTGCAGACGTTGTTGGACTTTTCCTTCCGTACTTGACGATATCGCTTGATTTACGATGTCGCTTCCTGACATTTACTGAGACCTTTTTGTAAAACACGACTATAGTTGTTCCGTTACAAAGACATTTTGTTATTCATACATATCATTAACTTTTATCTTTAGGCAGGATTCCGTTAGTGTTATAATCACTGCATATGTAATACACGTATCTAGAAATATTTTACTAAACCCACAGATTCAGGATAAAATGTTGTCGTATATCTCATGTAAGTTATATTACGTAAAAGCATGTGGCAGTTTTATAAATGTACCTATATGTCAGATAGGGAGCGGGCAGTAGCGCCGCGCCGGCTGGCCGAATGTCGCCAGCCTGTCCCGACCGTCTCTATCCCGAGGCGAACTATCAGCTGACAAGATTTTATCACGCAAATAAAAGAAGACGCTTTTTATTAAACTAACCAGAAACTCCCGATAAACCTACTTTTCAACTTTAAACTGTATGTGAAATGAAGCCAAGCTGTAGTAGGCAAATTGTAAAAGCGTAACCCGACAAACTTCAGATGTAAATTCTTGGTTTACTCACTCTATAAGAATATTCATACAATATGATACAAGGCTGTATCTCCAACAACATTTGGCAAATCTGGCTTATACTCGTATATGTCTTATTGGAGCCACCCCTGCATTTTTTTACTGACGTCCTCTCTGATAAAGTTGTCCTATTTCAGGGCGATTGCGTGCCTAACCCTAGCGTTGCTATCTTCGAATTTTGCAAACGAAATATACCAAGGTTGCTATACTGTCCACATAAAATGACATATGTGCCTAACTTATGTACAATATCTCGTACATAATATATAATTTTATTTGATTCTTATTTTATAAATTTATATATTTTATTCGATTACGATTACTTTCCTTGGTACCTTATTTATTTCTTTAATTTTACGTCAAATATTTAGGTATATGGGAAGGTTGTGACTTCCAATAGCTAAACTGAAATAAATATGTTTGTTAAGATTTATATGGCCTTAAGTTACTTTATGGGTATAGAATGGCACAACCGCATGTGAAAAGTAAACTTTTACGCGATACTAAATAAAATTCGTGGTATTCACATCGAACATCCAATATGTTTTCTTATTACCGTTCTTAAAGTCGGTCTTTTACAATTAATATTTTAAATTTTAGTGAAACAATGTCTTGATTCTTTTCTAAAATTGTATATTTTCAATAGATGCTGAAATCGTGTCGTCAGTTAACGATGACGGTGCGGACAGCAGGCGCGTTGGTCGGGCGGGCCTCATGCTCGTGGATGGACCGGTACGGGCGACCCGCCTCGCCGCCACCGCTGCGTCCACCGCGGTCCTCTAGCAAAGACCGCTCCGTACGTAGGGTGAGATAATACTAGAAAAGAGACTTGTCGCTAACGATTACGTAAAACATTCATAAAAAGACACTATCTTCGTCACAAAATGCGCAGACGTCATTTATTTTTCATTTATTGATAAAATCATCAACGATGACGACAGTTACTTATATACGCGTAAATTAATTTATGGCATCATAAATTTTATAGTCAATTCCGTAACTCGTAAATATTTAATGTCATTGCATATTGAGGTTAGTAGAGGGGGTGGCTTTGTGGTATGCTAATCGTAGTCAACTCACCACAGAATTCTGTCGTTAGTGGTTGTAATGACGGGCCGCAACGCTCGCATCGATCTCCGTGTCATGGCGCGCATCACGCGTGACCCTGATCATAATATACTGGCAATACTACCTACTTGGTGAATGAAGCCATTCTTGAGCCGCTGTGAGCACAGATTACGTGTTTATGGGCCTTTACATTATAATCACGTAACGTGCCAAACGTTTCCCCTAATAGCTATTTCCTTAATGTTCTATCCGAGATGCCATGAATTTTCTCGTATGTACTACGCATTTTCATTACATTTATGTAAGTAGAGTAACTCAAATGTTCCGTAATAAATAGCTAATCTATGAGTTTATGTGCAGGTCGACCTCTGTATAGAGCCAGGACAGTCGTTAGGACTAATGATAAGAGGAGGGCTCGAGTACAACCTTGGCATCTACATCACTGGGGTCGACAAGGATTCCGTTGCAGATAGAGCGGGACTTATGGTAATTATCGTTCCATATTAAGCTTATTTTATTCGTTCACGGCTTTGGGTAATTGATGATGCTCGAAATGAAACATAATATTCTTGACAGCCTAATATTGTGATTGCTTTTACATTGCTAGTCATAATACATTTATATTGACTTTGATAAATAACCAGAGGGCTGAATGTGAAAGAATGACGACTGAATATACGAGTATTATGTGACAAATTAAAGAAAAGACAAAAACCGTACATAAACCGATCCTTAGACATGTGAAACGTGTTTTTTGATTTGCAACCTTAGATATTTATGTAAAATAATCTATTATATTTTAACGTGAAATCAATTTGAATTATAATATAGGTTAGTGTTTAATTAAAAATTATTTTGTAAATGGTTAAAAATGAAACATGAATTAAATAACAGAAATTGTTAAAGTATGCAGAGTAAGTTTACTGTGAATATAAATCTTAATTTAGTTCGCTTAGTTTGGTGCAATTCGTTGTAAATTAACGCGACACCCAGCTCGGGGAAACTTGTGGGAACGGCAGGCAAGAGGCCTTGTGAGACGGAATTGCATCGAAGTTAGTGCCAGCAGAGGGCGCTTCAAAGTCGGATAAATTACTCGTTTGTTTCCCATTAAACTTGCAGCTCTATGGAAATGACATTCAGCTTTGCTGCAAATGAAGTCCTATTTTTAGAGCACTAAGATATAATAGATTAAGCAAGTTTAACAAATATGTTTAGTTGGTTGGTGTGGCGGGTAGTAGTGCGAGGTGTGTTGGCAGATTTATAGCATTTGAGTTCGAGACTCGGCCCCGCCTCCCGCTTTCTGCACGCTGCCTAACTACATCCGTACCTCATAATGTTTGAAACTTTTACCACTAACAATTTTCCAAGAATTTTCATTACAGACTATTTTAAATTTATTGCACGATTAGGAATATCGAATATCTAAACATAGTAAATGTTATGACCTAGTTGCTAGTTATAGCTCTTGTATGTTCACAAATATAGCAGATCATTATATAATCAATTCTTTTTCCGTCAGGTTGGAGACCAGATCTTGGAGGTGAATAATCAGTCGTTCATCGACGTGACGCATGACGAAGCAGTCGCGCAGCTCAAGTACCACAAACGTATGTCGTTGGTGGTGCGGGACGTTGGGAAGGTGCCTCATGCTTGCACTGCATATGGAGAACGGGATGCGGCTCCAAGGTATTTTACCTTATCATTTTATACTTTTATTTTTTTATACTCCAGCTTCCCGTTGACTCTTGAACTATTTCCTTGCACCTTTGTTTTATATTTTATACTTAGTAATGATTTATTAGAATTTGATAATGACTCGGTGTTAACTTAGTTGAGAAATGCTTAGGACACATATAACGATATTCCAAGTATCACAGTCACACATGAAACTTTCAGATTGTTAAAAAGTTTAAAGCATACTTTCGAAATAAAATTATTTTGGCAACAAAAGGGTAGGCACCTTTGGCAGTGGTCCGCCCAAGTGAATTGTGTTTTTCGTTTTAATGAACGGATGAATGTTGAGTTTTTTGGCAAGTCCCTCATCAAATTCCATGGGGCATTTAATATATTGTTTGTTATTAATTAAATTTCCTAGAATACAAGCAACGTTGTTACGTTGTTAGGCAATGTTTATTCTTCTTCTTCATTGTATTTAAATAAGGTTTATTGTTTCGAGACATGGTCTATATTTGAGTAAGATGTGCCTGGAGTGTTTTAAAGGATAAGATCCATACTAAGGAATTGTAATATGAAAATAAATACATTATAACAGATCGTTGAATTATCAAACTATAGTGGTAGAGGAAAACGATAGACGATGGAGCAGGTAAAATTGTCCTCTCATGCTAGTTTTATTGAACTAGAAAGTGCCCTAACATGTTAAAGACATGGTTTGGAATGTTGTGAAGCGATAAAGAAGGACTTAATGTGTAGGGCAAGCTGATATAATTAACTGGCTGTTAGTATTATTTTTTTTAATTTTCCCACATTTGTGTTTTGTCTTGTGTTGTATAACGTCGTGTTATAAACATAAATTTTCACATATAAATGTAATGAAAATTTGTCGTAGAATAAGTGGGTGGGGTAAGCGTCGTGGTGCTGCAGCTACGGCGGTGGAGCAGAAGGCGCGGTCGCTACTGCCTCAGTGCGACCTGCCGGCCATCGCCTACTACATGGAGGAGTACGCCTCGAGGAGACTCACTCCTGACTCCTTCCTCACAGTCGTCAGGGATCTACTCGACACGCCACAGAAGGTAACTAACGTCTTAGTATTCCTGAAAATTGATTTCCCTAGAGTAACGTCGTCGTCTAAATGACGCAATGTTTGCATGCAAAGTTATGGCTCACAAGATTGACTATCTACAAATACTGAGCACTTTCAATTTTCATGTACCTTTAAGAATCTTCGCAATCAGATTACGCCACTGCATCCACCACAAAGAAGAATAGTTTTAGGCTCCAATTTTTCTTACGATTGCAGTGATATAATTGATCTCCACTTTAACTCTGTTAACAATTAAAAACCAATATTTATAAATATCATCTCGATCTGTATTAGACATTTATGGAGTCGCGTGTTTGCAATAATAATATAAGATTACCTGAAAGTGATTGTTAAACTATTGTAATCTATTTTATGTGAAGTAACTTTTAGCATAATACCAGTGTCAACAATTGCTGGGGACCCAATAAATAAATAAATAAATAAAGTTACTGAATGATTGGAAATAAAAAAATAAAAGATTCACCTCACAACTTAACTTGTATGCGTATTCCTATTCAAAAGTAAACAAAACAAGGATTTTATCTATAGGCACCTACATAGGAATATTCATACAAACATATGCAAATTTGAGCCAGTGTGAGAATCGACCTCACAATTCAGAAATAGGCTGCAAATCCGCGAACCGCGGTATTTAGGTCACTTTACATATGTATATATGTACATATCTGGTGACAGCTTATGTAGTTAATTAGGTGACGGTTTGATTCAGCTGTGGTTACATAAACAAACTCTATAGGTTAAGCCCATAGTGTTTACTAAGACTCGTAATGTGTGATTACAATAAGAATAAGAACAATTACCTTCATGTTCTCTATAAATACAATATCATTTTTACAAACATTAGACACCATTGTTTTCAGTGGTCAAAAAAGTGAAAATAAAAGAAAACTTTTTAAGAAATTTTATATGTCATATTCATATACAGTACTGTGTGACGTCAAGGTTACGAAATTCATTATATTTTATATTTTTATTCGTTTTATTTAAGTATGGTTTGATACCGGTATACGACAAAACGCGGTTGCACCCGCAGCGCTGCTCGGCTCCTACAGACCGTTGCGTGATGTTTTATAGCCTATAGCCTTCCTCAATTAATGGACTAACAAACACAAAAATAATTATTCAATTCGAGCCGGTTGTTTCAGGAATTAGTGCGTTCAAATAAACTCTACAGCTTTATAATATTAATATACGTAGATAACATCCAATCTTTCACATCTAACTAATGATACCTTATTGCATCAACCATACATTTCTTTCCATCTTTCGTAAGATGTGAACCGACCCTTAGATAGAGTAGTATTTAGAGAATCTTGTGTATTATAGGATAAAACCTCTCAAATCTTAATTTTAAATCCAAATCTATTTCTTTTACATTGTGCCCAGTTCCTTTTACGTTTTAATCTTAGTATTATAAAAAAGTCCTAAAAAGGAAAACTATTCGAGAATGTTCTGGTTAGTGAGTCACTAGATATAATATATATGACTCAGAAGACGAAGACATTTTCACGTATATGTCTGTATATGGAAAGCTATAAATAACAGAAATACGAATACAAAGTAAACAACCTCATAAAAGTATAATGTATGTTAACAGTTTTCGGATACTTTCAAAGACTTCTTTCTTTTGCCGAAGTACAGATTGTCCTCTATCGACCCTATTATCTTCGCCCCTCTGATCCCTATTTCGGGACGTTCTGCGCTAATACTTACATCCACTAAATGTTAATGAAAGTATTTGTGTGCGTCGCTCAGGCTTTTGTCCCGTAAGCAATAAGGAAAATCTGTAACATGAGAATAATGTATTGGGTTACTACTGGTTAATTTAGGCGTCGAAATTGTATAGTTTCGTCTCTATCTTACATTTGTAGTATTACAATAGTACGACAGAGACAGATACATTCAAGTCGAATCACGTATTAACTAACGTTTATTTTCTCGGCTTAGTTCTGTATCTTAGCTTTTATACAATATCAATTGATTCGGAATGAGATCGTTGTTAATCATTCTTAGTTTGTCTTTCAACTCACGAACTGAGCTTAAATACAAAAATAATCAAAATATACTTACTTGTTGATTACATTTGTTGTTAACTGTGCGGATGGTAGTTTGTGCAACCAACTTTAGCTTTACCTGTAACTAGATTTTATTGATAAACAGAAATCCAATTTATTTCGATCGAATCTCTCGATATGAGCTAGAGGTTCGGAAATAGGCCGATCGGTTGATTAAGCTGTCACTACGTAGATATGACTAGTTACTTAGTACGAGTATATGATTTATTTGCTGAACTCTAATTCTGTTTAAGTGCTTTTGTAAATTAGCTCACATGCACCACTTCAAAATGTTTTAGATAAGCATAAGAGTAAAAAGTTTGCTGCATAATAAAACTCCATTTTAGTTTTATAGACACATCTTTCTTCACAATAGATACTAATGTCGCTAGCATCGTATATTGTAGAGCAGATAGAAGTGCCTTTACTTCGACGTTTCGTATTGCATTATTCAATACGTACCGAATTTTGTTCAGTGAGACATCTCATCCTGTCGTATTTTCTCTTACCACGCGATTTCATAGGATTAAAGTAATTTGTAGTACGTCATGAAGTGAGCGTGTAGTAGGTACATCAATACATTATCATCAATCACATGTGGTATAACTTATGTTTCGTGCAGGCATGCTCGTCACATTACCAAACAATAATTTATCTTTTAGCTAGCAGCCACGCTACTGTTGCTGTTCATTAATGTTTTGAAAAACCAAATTATTAAGTAATTTGAAAGTTTCATGTATATTTTATTAAGACCCGTCTTTCTTTAAAAGAGATCACGATCACGAAGGATTGATACATAATTCAATTGATGATTTGTTCTTAAAAGTAATTTGAGAAACTCAGTTACAGTGAAAATTATATTATGATACAAAATGTCCTTTGGATTGTGTAAGTCTTATTCTCAAAGTACCCAATGCTAGATCATTAGGTTTAGGTACGTTTTGAATATGAAAGACCGTAGCAAAGGGAAGCAAAGGGATAAAACCATGGGGGTGCAATCATTACCACCATTACTCGATAGAACTACTATAAGACTGCAATAAAATACTGGCCGACAACATTGTTTTCGTAAGCATTCGTGATTTAGCAGTAACTGTTACGATTGTTGGGCACGTAATTTTGTTTTACACGTATTTTGATTACAATATCGCAACAATACAGATAATTTTCAATGTTGATGATACCGTCTTTTTCATACCGGATCACAAAATATTCCACGAGAGCTATTCCATTCCTTTGTTTCTCTATCTACCTGTTTAACCTACATTCTGTCGGTCGTAACCCAAACAATTCCAGTGTTAGTTTTCCAGTGTTATTTCTGTACACAAATAATACATGAGAGAATCTTTTACAGTACACTCTTCTGACGGAGATAAGGGAATTCATGTTACCAGAGGATAGAGCGAGGTTTGATGAGCTCGTGTACAGAAGAGGCGAGGAGCCCGTCGACCACCATATCAAGGTAATAACATTTTTCTTAAATCAAGATAACACTTTATAAATCGTAGTAAAACCACGTGCCACATTATTTGATGACTGCTGAGATTTGCGAACAAAATTCAATGCAAAAGTCACAAACAGTTAATTAGTTCATCTGTTACTCATTTCAATTAAGTACTAAATAAAAAAATAAATATTTCATAATGAGACAAAAGTGCTGAAGAAACTTTAAAAGTGCCTAAAAAATAGTCACACCATATTAAACCACTTGGCAACGTTTTCAAAATTAATCTCTTCTTCAGCGAAAAATAAAGGCGTATTTTATCAGAGTTTATTAGGCAGGCTTTCGTCTTACAATGTTATAATCTGTGTCTTACCTGCAGTGCCTAATTAGGATACAGCCCTCTGCAAGATTGCTCCGAGTAACTTAATTTAAACGATGTTTTCTGTCTTCTACAAGATAACTTAGTTATTTTAATAAATTATGCCTTTCATTTACTTATCTTAAGACCTAAAATTAATGCTTTAATATAATGATTATAAGTTGAAATTTGACTGAACACTCTATTTCAACGATTTTCATGTAATCAATAAGCAAAAAATACATCTACATTCACATCACTAGAGTACTTTAAATTCACACAGCTGCGCTGCAAAACAACGACAATATAGTTTAGTTAAAATTCATAAAATATCCTTTCTTTCTAAGAACACGAAGTTAACGTCTCAGTGCAATATCATTTGCACAAACTTAGTTGATGCTTACGATTTGTTGGTAGCGGGGTCCTGAGCGACACATGCTACCCTCCTCGACGATGCATGAGTTGCACGACCCGGTAAGTGCACACGCTTTACTTTATTCACTTGACTGCACATGGACGTACACAGCTGCTCCCAACTCCACACTTCTTAAACAAATACACGATGATTATATTCAATAATATCCGGACTAACTATAAAGGATGGCCGAGTACGCCCTTGTCTCTGCATGTTCCATCGATGTAATAGTTTGATTGCTTTCTAAGTAGATTGAGCTTTGTTTATAAATGGTTCATTAATGTATCCATTAATTCAATAACACGTAAAAATCATTAAACATCAATGAAACACCATTATGGTCAGGCCTGAAAAATGTTTAACTTTTACAACTCTCTGAGGTTACTTACTAATTATTCTGACCGACTATTTTACGCGCATTTTTTAAGTCAACCAAAAGCGTTGCTAGTATCTTCTAAAGTTTCTTTGTTTCCGTTTAGGGATTCCAAAAATTGTGTCATAAAGTAGTGTTTTTGAAATTGTACACCACTAAGGAGCTCGAAGTCCCTAAGTAATAAACAAGTTAGTAACTTCAACGTAAGTTTCACATGAGAAGTGGTTGAAAGTGTTGGGGCTTTCGGGTCAGGTTGCGGGTTATTGTTATAGGAGGGACCGGCGGAGGCACCTCTCGTAGCCGACCATCGCTCGCCCTCCGAGGACTCCGGCCTGGGCCTGCCACCGCATGACCATGCTTACAGGTGACCTCATTATATGACTGACCACACTTAGATTAACATAGCTAGAGCTCTTTACACTACGATTTAATTTGTTTTTGTGGTTTCTGTGAAAAGCGGGAGGGTACACAAATACATTTGTCATAGAGTTGTGGCTGTGCTGCATCAGAGAGCCGCAAGCGCTAGAGACCGCACCTCTCTAATGAGCGAGGCGTAAATCCCTCATCGCCGGCGGGGCCTCTTTTAAAGACGCTTAAACGTTAAAGTACCATTAAAGTGCGAAAGCAAAGGCTGAGTCCTCGTCGAGCGTTCGCTTTCGTCCGCTCTTTTACATCTCACAGCGAAAATAACCCACAGTTTTCCACTAGCCCTTGTCAGCGCTCGCTCTTGCGAACCGAGCATCTCATTGGCTGGTCGCCAAACACTTCCACTTTTATTCAGTATTGGAATCGATTGTTTTATGAGAGCATAAACGTTTCCATTTATTGTCACCGGCGGTTTAGTGCCAATGTCCTGCATCCGTAAGTAAGGGGTGCTTTATAGTTTATGGACCTGTAAAATCGATGCAAAAGCATCGTTTCAATTTTATGTTAGATTAATTTTGCAAAATTGTTTCAATATTGGGAAACAGTTTTTTGTACTAATTTATTATTGTTACAACCCATATTCATCAAAGGAAGGGAAAGCGTAGATTTGGTGAATTTTTGCATGGAGTTTATTTTATTATACCGGAATATCGAACGCTGCTACTTCTCAGTTTCTAAAAAGACACGAATTACTTGATTCAGTTTCGCTGCACAAGTGCGTTAATTTTTTTTTCGTTTGCTTTATTCAGTGCAACGTAACAATTTAGGAATAGGAGACATGGACATGTGTAAACACAAACATTAACAATATTAGGTTCGTATTGTTTCGCAAGTACGTCCCTGTAAAAGCTCCCAATGGTCCCGATCGGTTGATGGTTGAGTTTGTGTGTTATCGTATGGTGTTATGTGTGAACTAGTTGCTGAAGTAGCTATGTGTGAAGGCCTGTTGATGTGACGGTGGTGTTGTATGGGGCAGGAGCGGGCGCGCGTGGCGGCCCAGCGACGCGCCGCCCCCGGACGACGACCTGGAGCCCCCGCACGAGGTGATTTTGCCAGAATTACCTTCTACACTTATCTTGTCGACCACATTCACTTCTCTACGCCTTGTCTATAGCAGTGTCCTGGGTGTCACTCGCGTTCCCATCACAGACCACACCTAATGCCCATAATTGTGTCAATCCAAAGGCTGTTCTAGCTCATGTTCAAGTTCTTTAAGCTTGATCACGTTGTCATAATACTAACAAACACAGAACAAATACTGGAGCAAGTGATGCTGCATTGCTTTCATTACATCAGTACCTTTCATTGCTAAAGAGTACTTTATTTCATTGATTTGGTATTTGCGAATAAATTCATTGGCTTTGCTGGAGTGGCACCTCGGCACTACCACTGTACAACTATTATGTATCTCACATTTTCTTGCATGAGTCGATAACGGCTAGCGAGTAGAACTAAAACAGCTCACAAATATGGCCGTTATTTCCTGTATATTGCATTCCATGGGTAAATCTGGCAAAATTCTGTTACCTATTCACTTTTCTCTCAAAGAGATAGAGCTATGGGGAAAATTGGCAATTTGACTAACGAAAATACTTATTTGGTAATAGCGGCCAATAACAGTGTTTTCTTTCGACTCTATTAGTATAGACTAGATTCAAGTAGTATTCTTCTCTTGCAAAATATTTTCATTATTCTGTCGATGTACGTGCGTTATTTCAAAATCTATATAATCTCAACAAGGACGATAACCACTATAAAACTTTAGTTATAAAATATCTTAAGAGAACTGATTCGTCATGTGTAGACTATTCATAATTCTGGATGACTAATGTTATTTAAACAATTATGACGTCATTGATAACAGTGTAGTACAGAGCGTTCGTTCAGACTACTATTTTCGCGCGTTGCTGTATCGGCTCGTTGGTCTAGGGGTATGATTCTCGCTTCGGGTGCGAGAGGTCCCGGGTTCAAATCCCGGACGAGCCCGGCGTCTTATCTTTTTGATATTTTTTTTACTTTTTGTTTATTTATCAATGAATAAAGTTTATTAAAAATTATTCATAATAAAAAAAACCTTCACATTAATTTATTTAAAAAAAAAATCTTATTATTTCGTATGAGTATTGAAAAAGTAACAAAAGAAGAATAAGTAATTATTATTATTTATTTATTTTAAATAACATGCAAACGTTATTATTGTCACAAACATATTGATTAATATTGATATTTCATGACATTATTATTTATAATAAGGTTTTTTAATAAAGGGCAACAATTAAATATGAAGTTTTCTACCCCTAAAATTAATAAATGTAATGTAAAAACAATACCAGTTTATGTACAATACGTCTTTAGCTACACAACGTAATGTTAAACATAGTTGATAGTTGTAGAAAATGCAGTAGGGATCATATAACTAAAGCCAAATCTTACGCAACAGTATTACTGTATTATTTTTAATTATATTCTTAAATAAATACTCCTTTAGACATAATCGTTATCTGCCTGAATCATGAAAAAGGATTGTTTTACCATTAATTGGTCAAGTTAGTCTTACGTTATGTAACATCATTAGGCATTTTTGACAACTGAGTAAAACTATAACTTAAACCTTCACGGCCTTATTAAAAAACAAGATTTTACTTTAGTCTAGGACTAAACCATGGAGCCAGTTTTTGTATTTCGAATTGAAGGTAGATGACAATAAGATTCAAAATTCAAAACCCGACTCAATGGCTTAAACCTGGACTAAAGATAAATCTTGTTTTGTAATAAGGGGTAAGAGATTTAAAGGCGTGGTAAAAAAAATATTTGATAGTAATATAATATTATGTATTTACATAAAATGCAGGTTTTATATGAATATTAACAGACAATGTTATCCAGTTTCAGCTAAACTAGGCTTTGTAAAGACTTCATTGCTAAATTGCGATAGGAATTATTTCGTTTTCAGTCTAAAGCACTCTAGAATTTTGTACCTAACTTAGTTTACTGTTATTTTTATAGAATAATGTTGGCAAAGGTATAGGAAGCCGTGGCAACGTGCCAGTTGAATTTCAAAAGTACCTCTATTGGCGTGACACCTATGTCCATACGTCTACCTACCTCACCCTCAAATACATACTGCTGTATTTAAAGGTACATTTTCTACAGCTATTTTTAACGTAAATCAGAATGGAAATATCGGAAATGTTATGGACCCGTTATATCCGTCTGTCAGCCTGTCTGCTTGTTGGGGCTTATATCACAGAATTTCTTTCTCGTTTTTGACTACGTGAATTCTTTGGGTTTCGTTTTGGCCAAAAGTCCAGTTATATTTAGATAAAAATAAATGATGATGAAGAAAATCTTGGTCTTAAAAAATTCAGAGTAATTTCAAAGACTAATTTCCTTGCTGCAAACATGAAACATACTATACTTTCACTGAAAAATAATACTCTTTTTACGCAGGTAGGAAATGAACGTTTTATTTCTTCGTAAATAATACGTTTAAAATGTACGAGTATACTATCAAAGATGAGTAAACCATTGAATAACGACGCCGACGACCTCAAGTTGATTACTCTTTTCCCTTTACTTGATTACCTATGTTCCGCGTTTCGCGTTCCAGTATTAATACAACGCTTGTATTTGAGAATTCTCTTTTCAGGGTCCTTTCAATCTCTCTAGAGGGTTTGAGTATGTTATGATATTCATATGACGTATATCATTTATGTTACTGTACACAATCGGTATCAACTTTATTTGTGTTCTTAGCACATAAGAAGTCTAAGGGCTTGTTTCACAGTAAGTTAATCACAATACGCATGGAACTTACGCATACTGGAGTACCAAATCAGACATTGTTAAATAGATAAGTGAAAAGTTCTCGTTACCTACAAAACCTGAACCATTTTTAAGTTTATAATTTTAAGAACATTTTAGCTGGTTTGTATCTAGTTAGAATTATTCTTAAATTAAGAAAGTAATTTGTTATAATTTACCGAGAAGCAACTGTTTATTTAAGCAACGTATTTTAATAAGAATAGCTGTTTCATAACGTGAATTAACCTTCTGTGAGGTTCATATCGATTTAATTAAAGGTGTACTTTTCACCGCACCTTTACTTGTTAAAATTAATGAGTGCTAAAGGCTAAACTCTAAACCATCTAATATTGTGACGTCAGCGAGGCGCGGCACTCGTACCGTGATACGTCATAAAGATAACGCCAGCAGCTTATACATGGGATGACGAACGGAATCGAATCTATATTTTATGACCTTACTATTAAATATGAAAGAATGGCGGCTGTAAATGAATAAAACAGACAAGTGAATGTAAATTAATTACATTAACCGCGGTCCAAACGGGAAATTACTTTTTTACCGTCAAAAGAAAGCATTCATTATTAAATATAGAACATCTTTTATAAATGAAGATCAATAAGAGCGAGGGAGCCAAGAAAGGTGGCTTTGTGGGCATCATGCTTCATCCTCCCCTAAACGTAATTAATTAGCTGGTGTAAATAACTATACGTAGGACACTTTCTTAACGTTATCTAATTGGAACTTGTTACGTAAGCATCTCGTTTGTCATCTTTCAGTCACAGATATTATATTTACCTTTTCGTCCGAAAAAGATAAAGATAAATGGACCCTTCTACTTCTTTACCATCAAATGTTTATTTTATGTTCAAGAAAAAGTTGTTTAGGGTTAGGGTTTTGTATACTTTAATCATCAACAACTTACTAACTTAATTTCCAGATAGAATTATAACTGGATGCCTAATCCTTTTGTTCCAAATAAAATGTTTGTATGCCAGAATTAACTTTTAATTAAGCTCTTAAACTCCAACATTTTGTAGGTTCAAAGACGACAGTTATTGACCGCAATGACATTTCATTTAAGGGGTAGAAAATTAAAAATATTTCCGAAGCGTATTCGGTACGGGTGTCCCATAAAATGTAAAGTTAAGAGGGGGCCTCTTAAACAAACCGTGGAGCGGGCACGTAGGGCGTGCGCGTCCCAAGGCGTCCCAAGGGCGGTAAGGGTGGTTATAGACGGTTCGTAGTATCAGTGCGCGGCGCGCCGGGCGATCGGCATGACGTCGCGCCGGCGGCGCCGCGTCGCCTTTCGCGACTACGTGCCTATGGACGTTCGCGCCATGGCCAAGGTACACCATCTACTTCCATCATATACGCGTCTTTGTTATACAGTTCCATTACAGTACTATTTCGTGATAATTACAATACCTTTTAAACTGTTTTCATTTTTATTGTTTTTATTGTACAGTATTCTTGTGTATATTGTTATTATTGTTTTGCTTTTCGGTACTATATAGCTAATTAAATAGGTAGATATTATTTTGTATTAACCTTCATATGGAATGTTTTTTAATAGTTTTGTGTATATGCGTGATTCCCTGTGTTTAGATAAATGACGCGATCGCTACCTAATGGAAAATTCGTGTACATGCAATGTGTTTCAAGTTAACTAGAACATAATTAACCTCGTAAATGATTAGGAGACCTTTTAAACTATTAATTAATATTTACTTAGTTGTGGGTTAAAAAATATCTATAATTTACTTAAATACGTGAATAATAAAGCGCCTGCTCCTGTTTGAGCTGCAACAGTAACAGAATGCCGTTGTGAGAATAACGCGACGAAAGGTTTAATTTGTTTAATAATTATATTTCGTAATAGAAGTAAATGCAATATTACTATTGTATATTGTTTCACACCTGTGACTCGGAGTGTTTCCATAAACTAAATGAAATCGTGAGCTTCAAATTAATAATTTAAACATTATGCATAAATTCTCGCATGGCACTTAGTTTGAAAGGTGCGAGCTACTTCCACGTAGACCACGGATTGTCCTGCATAATTAACAGGGTTGTTGTTAACAACCCTCTCTTTTCACTGAAACTACAGCAAATAAAGACTGGAAAATCATCAATTTTTAAAACGTTTTACAACAGGTTCGAGCGCCTAGCGCCTATGTAGCACTTTGATAAATTTACTGTCTGCAAATTCATTTAACTAACGAAAGATTTCTTTGTGGTCTAATGATCATCGTAAATTATCTTAAACGAGATTGCTGAGTTCGAGATCACGGATTTGATTTGATCATTATTCTGCGTCTGTGGTATTATATTCTTTATGGTAATAGGACATTCCTGGTTATACCTGAGTACCGACAATTCTCAAAGTAAGAACCTGTAAATATAAAAATATAATAGATACATCTATACTTACCCCCTTTTCAGAAATAAAGTTTTTGTGAATAGGGTTAGGAGATGTACCTATGTTTATAATGTATTACTCAATGTATACCCAATAACAATTGGCCGATCAATAAAGCTAATTAAATTAGCAATTTGCAAACCAGGTCGTTGATGTCTTCTCTTTGGGGACTCATCGATGAAGTACAATGAACCGTTTCGTTGTTATCTATGACCACATTCTTAATAATTTTATAATTAATGGTCATGTTTATAGCTCTATTTCATATAAAATTTAAACTGTTTTTATGTCTGGATATCGTCAGACTAACAACGGTTTCGGAGATCGAACGGAGTACAGTTAAACAAAAACATATTTTTAATTCCGGTAATATAAAATGTTAGCGAATTAAAATGTAAGTTGATCCTAAAATTCCTTAATTTACCAAGTGCTAGCTATATGTTACCTAAAAACTTTATAGTATTAATCAAAAATACAACACAATTTCCCGTAGCCGTAGCGCTCGTAGCGTCTCGTAGCGTCGTAGACTTCAGGATCTCTTTTGTAAACGAACAAAACCTCGACGTTATCTACGATCTGTAGCAGGCAGGTGCTGCGATAAAGTCGTGTTTTAAAAGTACCGGTTCAGTCTATGAGAACCGGAATGACCTATTTTCCTCTGTTGACAGTTAGGATTTGAGCGGGAACATGTCGATGATAGGTTAGATATACGGACGTATGAGTACTTTGTGTAATGAATAGCTGGATGCTGTGTTCCAGATACTGACTGAATATTCTTTCTACTGGCCTTATTTTTATTAGCATCTGGAAGGTACCGAGGCTTTTGTCAAATAAGACACGTTGAGGTTGAAGTGACTAAACTGTAAATATCTTTAAATGGTTCGGTTTAATCAAAAGTTCAATTGATATTGCTAAGTTTATGACTCAGTTTACATATTCAAGTCAATTTTAATCATCCACTGCCACATTTTTGTTTTTAAATTGAAGAAAAATAAAGACCTACACGAATAGTTCTAATTTCCTAATTTAAGTACTAACCAAAAATATGGTTGTTTACTTGTTAATCCGAGCAAGCATTCGGGTCGGTCTTAATCCAAATTATAAGGTCTTTAGCCTTTATCAGTTGCGTGACTATGTATTATAGTTACACGTAAAACTATTGCGTTCAATGGCTCCGGTTAAACGATAACAACTAATGAGTTCGATCCGACGCAACACGCAATTGTCCACCAACACCTGGTTGCGGTTCTCTTAGATATAATGAACAAAAGTATACAGATTAAAATCAGAACTATTGTTTTAGTTCCCTGAGCTAATGATCTAGGTGTATTATACCTTTAAATAAGCAATTCTTGTATATACATATATATAGATGCAAGGAGATACATTTAATTTTAATATCTGAAAAGGCTTTAACGGTTTCCATATAATTGAAAAATAAAATGTAAAAATATGCCACATACAAATCTCGGCCCTCGAAGTATGTGCCATACATTTATTATATTAGTAATATAAGTATTTATTACTCGGTAATTTTGTGATCACTTATTTTGGGTCAGGAAATATCTTCGTTCGTATTTATCTATGCTATACTTACAGTATCTCCTGCTTCATTGACTTTCAAATAAATTACAGATCGACCTTCCATATATTTTTCATTTCATTTTCAGCCTCATTTACAATATTTGCTGACAAAAACAAGACATTTAATTTCTTGAAAAGTAGATTTGAATAAAGCTTTAGCCTGTGAAGGCTTCCATTAATACGAATCGTGTTTTTTTTTTAAATTTTCGTTTAGTGTCGTTAAGTGGTAATATTCATATGAGCATTCTTATACAACAATACTTTTTACAACACGTTTACCCATTGTTACCCAAATGAATAGGTAATATAATATATCATACTTAGTTTAGTTCGTAGTAGATAATCATACTCGAAAGTGATCCATCGCAAACATAACACATATTATCTCAAATGTTTGTTGTGCAACATAGATGAAAGTTAAACAATGTTAATTGTTCTTCGTGGGAATTTAGTAGTATTTATAACTCAAAACAAACCAGTCTTGAATCGAAGAAATTCGCATAGAATTTTACATATTTCATTCTTATTTATTTACCAATTAAAGTTCCAGCCCAAAGCTATCCGTGATAACATTAAGAATGTTTCGTTATGATTTGCATGTAGGTATATGTGAAGCGTAGTACGAAGCTCTGCCAGTAACGTGGTCGTATGTATGCGCGTTATGTAACTTTTTGTTATTTTAGTATAGTTTAGGTGCTGCTAGAACGATAACAATACTTAACAACTTGCCACTTCCGCGCGGCGTTGGCCAGAATCTGGCCAACATGCAAAAATAGCGTGAAAAATCAATTGAATCGTCGAGACATTTAGTTGGTCATCCCTCGGCCTGCAGTTTAAGCGCGAGGCTTCAGTGTTTCACACCCCGTATCTTACACATTTATATACTTATATACTTGATAAAAAATCTATTTAGGTTCTTGTCTAGACGGAACTTTCTCGTGTGCTACATAGAGTTACGTAGTTTGACGCTTGTATTACTTTCTTGCGTGTAAAGTGTGATGCATGTTCTGATTTGTGACACGGTGCTGTCTAGTGTTTTGTACATTTAGTTGAACTTACTCGATTTACATTCGTTGGTCTGTGATGTACTAATGTAAGGTTCGGCTTCGTTCAATACATAGGGATTAAAAACATGTTCGTGTGCAGGAGTACGAGGAGGAGGGCCGGAGATCTCGACGACACTCTTCCCCGTGCAACTCGAGAGAGGGCAGCACCACCGCGTTACACACGCAACACTACGATGACTCCGTAAGTATACCATTATATTTTTTGAATCATGTTATTGATTACTCAAATGGCAATTATGATTAGGTATATCAAAGACCCTTGTGTGTATGTGTGTTTTTGTGAACGGGAAATACAGAATCAATTAGTTTTCTGGCTATTCTTTGAATTGAGTACAACAATTACCTACTCTATTTCACGAAACTAAATTAAAATATTGTGAAACGAGTTATAATTTAATTTGAAGAAAAAAAATGTTTAGTAAACATTCGTTAAAGAAAAAAGTTTTAAAAACATCTGATATGAAAAACATCTACAGAGCTTTATGTAAAAATTCGATTCTAAATAAATCCTACTACTATTATAAAGGCGAAAGTTTGTAAGTATGGATGTATGGATGTTTGTTACTCTTTCACGTAAAAACTACTGAATGGATTTGAATGAAACTTTACCACAATATAGCTTATACATCAGAATAACACATCAGCTACAATTTTTGAGGTTTCTAATGTGTGTGTTACGACCTCACATTAGTACGATAACTCTAAAAATCCGAGGTGGAACACAGGAAGTATTGGTTGACAATAGCTGGATTGTCCCATATTCTCCTCTTCTGTCTAAAAATAATTGTCACATAAATGTAGAGTTCTGCAATACGGTACAGGCGATAAAATATATTTGTAAATATATAAACAAAGACAGCGACCAGGCTATTTTTAACATTCGACAGCAAGGGAATGTTAATATTCACCCCAGAGATGAGGTGCAAACGTATCGAGCCGGTAGATATGTTAGTAGTAACGAAGCAGCGTGGCGGATCTTGGGTCTGCCTCTGCATGAAAGACACCCAACAAGACTAGACGGGACGAACCTGAAGTCCACGCGAACGAAGTCGCGGGCAAAAGCTAGTAGTATCATAATCTTCATTCCTACAAGAACTTCTAAAAATATCAACAAGAAGAAGAAAGTATTTTTATTATACAACTTACATGTTGTTCTAATTTTAATAAACTAACATTTTATGCCGAAAGAAGTGCCTATACAATTTATTTATGGCTTGTTTCGTCCCCACAGAAGTAGGTATAAGTTATCGAACATTTCTGCTGAATAAGCAGAAGGTCTTGTTTATATGTATGTTTGTCGAAACATAGTGGATATCCACCAAAACTCATTTGTAACCGAATAGTTTGGCATTTTGCCAGCTTTCTGACAAAGCCGTCTTGATCTCACAAGTCCATCTAAAACGTTGTATGACGTATTACTAGCGCAGCTTTGAAATTTCTGCTAATCGTTAAGAAGGCACGTATAAGTGGGAGAGAACATTATTTTTGCAAAAAAAAAAAATGATTTAAGTATGATATTTAGTATAGACAACAAAGCGTGAAGCAACCACAGCGTTGTGTTTTGCTGTGTTAGTGAGGTTACTGGAGGCCTAATCCTTCCCCTCCCCAAATCCCTAATCCCCAAAAGTCCCCCTGTTGTTGCGGGATCCACGTGCGGCTGATTGCTTACCATCAGTTAAGCTGTCTGCTAGTTTGCCAACCTATTACATAAAAAAGACAATCTTAAAACAACTTAAACAGTTCGGATGATATACAAATTAAACTTTATACATTTCAAGTACATTATATGATAATTATCTTTTTTCTTGACACATCCAATCTCTAAATACTTTGTTACTCTTGAAATTAGAATTAAATTACTAAAAAAGACCGGGAATTTAATTTCCCAAGTTCAATATTTATAACGTCAAACTTAAAATACAAAACAAAAACAAACGATACACCAATATTTATTTATAAAAGAATTATAATACTATCGAGATTCAATAAACTTATTCTAAAGTGATATCAGTCTAATTACCTTAACTAAGTCTAATACGCAATTTATAATGATACTGGTTTAGCAGTCACGTTTATAAGTATATTATAATAATATTATGTAGCCTGATTCTTTCACCTTATGGCAAGTGAAACAAATTTATTGTTTTCAGACTAAGTTAACAAGTGTACAAAATCTATGTAAAATAATACTGACAGCATTTTTACATAAAATATGTTTTACCATGAGGCCGACGCGTGTTTTCTGTTTTCATTGTAACTTTGCAACAGTAACAGGTAATCGAATTGAATATTTTATATTGTAACAAAACACGACAGACATGTTTATCATTTCCGATAGGCAAACCAGGGGCATATAACATTCAAATTCATTAACTTTTAAATCTTACAGTGTGCCATTATTTGGATAGGATGTGTATCAAAAGTATCAAAGCGATCTCATTGCTCTACACCAATTTCATTGTGTTACGTAAATGTGGTATTATTAACACCACTTTAATTGCTGATTATTTGAATGTTTAACAAAACAATAACATTATTACTATAGACTACATAATTGATAACAATAACCCGGACGATATTAACACACGTTCCTAGTGTTCGCAACACTTCGTAAATTTAGCAAATCACGATCATTTGTTCCGAACAATGTCCGTCAATGTGCGTGTGTAATCGTTTATGCGGGAGTGTACGGGGTCATTAAGCCATTGGCTAGAGTTAAACTTAAAATAGACCTAATGCTCTGTTAAGACGTCATAGTTTCTCTTGTAGCGATCGACGTAGTTCTTCTGTCGCCTTAGTCAGGTCTTTGTCATGGCGACGTTGTTTGCCAAGATCCCCTCCGCAATCCTCTAAATAATCCTTGGGTGGCTCCACGGGATATTTGTTTCCGAATTTTGGCCGAGGGATCCTGACGCGTTTGACATCGCCCAACCAACTTTCCATTTTGATGATTGAAACCCTGGTCCTGAAAAAATACAACACATGTTTTATTATACTGTACGTTTACACTCATTTATACTTATGAATAGTAGGTATATTTAATTTGGTATGTAGGAACAGGTTTTTTAAAATAAAAGTAACTTTTTGTCATAATCTGACTAGAAATCAATTGCGGCAACTAGGAAATTGTTAGCAGAAATTAATTGAATCAGATTCAATCGTATCTGATCGAGTAAGTGCGGGGCTTGCAAAAAGTGGCAACACGCACTACTTTGGCGCTGCACCGTTGGTCAATAGTTGTGTAAGTAACGATGGTCATTGGGGAGTGGTGAAATCCTAAATAAGCGCGGCTTCATCTCGGCGCCAAGCGTGGGTGCCGCCGTCGAGTAGACTCGACACATTTATGGTAAAGTAACACAGCCATTTTGAAATGATTACACAAGTAATCTTAGTTGATCCAAGAGAAAACGGCCACTGTTTTAACAATAAATTGCCGTCGATATTGGATTGGTTTCTTAACAAGATTTCATAAACTGTGTGGTAATATATAGGTAGTCAAAATGATAATTTTATTTGTTTAATTCTCTTTATAAACATATTTACCAAAACCATATGCTACCATAAGTGCAATAGGGCAGTACCTAATAGACAATATGTAGCTCATATAAACAAGTAACTTCAAAGCAAGTAAACAAGTCATACGACTACGGCTTCTTTAACCGATATTATATTGTATGGTAATCAGAATCACTTCTTAGTCGAGCTCACTGCATAATATAAAAAAGTGATTAATAACTAGTCAGTCGTTCCGCGCATCTTAAGCGCAAAGACAAAGATATTTTATTGCACGAATAGCTTTCTCTAGCGAAAGTGTTGCTAAACGCGGTGCCATAATTTCGTTGTGACGCTTTCAAATACAATTTGTTTCGTTATTAATAGGCTTATGATTTATGAGTTCCGAATTTTGATATTCAAATGCACAACAAAGCAGTTTTATTTTTACGACACGGAGTTTTTTGGTAACAAATATCAAATTTCAAGTTGTGAGAAAATATTATTTAAGTACCTATAACTTTTAGAATTATTTAAATGAAATGGAAGTCAATACAAGACAGTACCGGTGTCATAATACGCGTAATATCCGAGAAAGCGGGCCGACGGAATCAAATGCATTTACAGGTCCGGTAGTTGGAACAAAACGTGACTCACTACCGTGGGTGCGATCCGGCCCGACAACGGACACCAAAATGAAGCACTGGACGTTATATTCTCAGAAATATATGACTCACTATACTAGCGATAAACATAAAACGAGATTAGATATTTATTTTACTGTCATTGCATGATTGACACTGATATGCAACAATTTACGCAATTTCTCTATCCTCAATAAGAGCAATAAATCTAATCGTCAATATTTATTAGAAGGTAAAATTTAATTTATAGCAATCTATTCTTATTTCTGCAATGACATTATGTTTTTAAAAATAGACAATTTATTTTATCGCGTTTAATAATTCCGAAATGATCATGTAAAACTGAATTTGTACCCGGGATATGGCAACCTGATCGTTGATTTACTTAAGTGTATATTGACTATCCGTTCTTTCTTTGGAGAAAAACAGATGTAAGATTAAGTTACTTAACACTTCCTGAGAATTTTGTCAATATAATAGAAAATAAAGTATCGTATAGTGTAATAACAATACGATTACACGATGCGCTTGAGAGGATCACAGACTTGCCGGAAGTGGGACGTCGCGTGCGCATCGTCCACACCTTTTGTCGTTTGTCCGTATTAGTTTGTGCATGTAAATAAAGGAAAGTACATAAATAATGTAACAGTATCACTATGGATATCTGTAGTTGACTAGTACATCAAGTAATTTCTATTCAAGACTTTTTATCAGCCATTGTGTGGCCATAATGTCACCAAGGAATGTTCAGTTAAGTATGGTGTAATTATGACATGTGATTGTAGTAGTTTTACGATGTTCCAAATTGGTTTGGTACGTGACATTGTAAGTAACTCGAAGTGTAAACTATATGGTACTTTCTCTTTGAAATTTAGCTCTCAGATTCGAAACGTTTAATTAAAATCAATTTTGGCATAGAATTTAAATGTCAACCTTATACAGAATTACGCAATCATATTTATCTATTCTTTGATTGTGATTACAATTATTGGTGGCTAACATTGATTACTTTTACTTAGGGCTGATTTTTGAATAGTCAGAGAAA